AAGTCTTACCAATATCTTCTGGCTGCTGGCATAATAAGTAGGATCAGCGATATCCTTGGGGGGAGTAGACCCATTGCCGGATAAAAGAGTCCGTTGCCCTTCGGGAGTCTTAAGTCTTTCTTCCAAGAAAGTAGAGCAAGCTATGCTCTTGGGATGTGAGATCGAGTGCCAGCTGGGAGAAGCCGTTACCCTTCGGGGAATTTTCAAAAAAACACACAACCTGGGGGGTTGGTAAGCTGCTGATGCCGTAGCATTTGCGTTGGATCAGGTCAGATCCTTAACTGACGATTGAGTCAGGCGTGTTATCCCCTAGAACCCTGCTAAGTGCAGTTCACGGTCTTTATGACTGTTGGATTTTAAATCCTAAGGAATTCCTTTTTTCCCTACAAGCAAGGCCGTAATGGTATGCTGGAGTGTGTCTCAGATTATTGGATGTGTTGGAGTTTTTACTTGCTCTGTTTGGCTTTTCTACAATGTGCCAATAAATTTATTTTATTTTATAGTTCGCATATACTTGTTTTTCGGTAATAATTGATCGGCTATATCCGTCGGCTGTATTATCATCTCCTGAGATGTATTCTATTTTAAAATGAAACATCTGAAGCTTCATGGACCACCTCAACATTCGTCCCGTGGAATTTTTTGGCACCTACAGACATGTTGGTGTTTTACGATCTGTTTTTAGTACAAAAGGCTTGCCCAGTAAAAAGTGTATATGGTTTTCTATCCCCTTAACAACGACTAATAGCTCTTTGTCGGTAGCTGCATAGTTTATTTGACATTTGTCAAACGCCTTACTCCAAACCGAAATCATCTGTTTCTTTTCATATTTGTCTTTTTGAGCCAGTATCGCTCCCATACCTGTGTCTGAAGCATTGGTGGTTAAACCAATTCCTTTGTAAAGTTTGGTTGTGCTCTTGTTGTTTCTTCTGTAATTTTAGTTTTTATTTCTCTAAACACCTTTATAGATTCCTTTGCCTAACTTATTCTCTTTGTGCTTCTTCTTGTTTTGCCTTTAAGTAAATTGTTAAGTGGAGCAACTATCAAGGCGTAGTCAACGATAAATCTTCTGCAGTAGCTCACTGTTCCCAGGAATGATCTTAATTCTTTTATAGTATTTGGTGCAGGATATTCTCTTATTGCCTTAACCTTTTCTGGGTCGGGCTTTATGCAACCCTCTGTGACAATGTTTTCCAATACTTTAATCTTCGTTTTAAAGAAGTGGCATTTCTTTTTATTAAGTCTCACCCCTGCTGATTTTAATCTGTTTACTACTAATTTTAAATAATCTTTATGGTCTTCGATACTTTTGAAATATATTATTATATCATCAAGATATGGAATTACAAAGATTCCTAACTTTTTTCTAAAAACTTTATCCATGTAGCGTTGAAATGTCGCTGGTGCATTACAAAAACCGAATGGCATCCTGTTAAAATCGTAAAGTTCATTCCTCCACGCGAATGCCGTCTTTTCTTTGTCTCTTTCCGCCATGGCTATTTGGTAGTATCCGGATGTGGCATAAAGAGTCGAGAAAAATTTTACACTGTTAAGGTTATCTAGAATTTTATCAATTCTGGGAAGCGGATATTTGTCTTTGATTGTAATCTTTTTTAGTGCCCTATAATCTATGCATATTCGTAGCGATCCATCTGGTTTACTTACGGGCACAATCCCAGAGCATCAAAGACTCACACTTTCCCCGAGTATGCCCGCCCTTAAGTTTTTTACTATTTCACGGGATATAACTTCCTCGTAGTGTATCAGGATTCTATCATTACGCTGATATATTGGTCCGCTTCCTTGTGTTCGATCTCGTGGATACCTTCCGTGTATAAGTCTAGTCGAGTTATTTCTGTTGTAAACATGGAAGCATTTTCTTCTAAAAACTTCTCTGATTTTATATCAAAGTCGATCGTGGATACTCCCCGTATATGTTTACCTAAAAAAATTTCAGCTGCCTCCTTTAACAAATTTTTATGTGTCTTAAAGATGTCTAATCCTAGAATGGCGCGATCTGATTTAGTCGATGTAATTAAGGGAGATATTTTAACTTTTTATTTTTCACAATCTATAAGGATATCAATCCCCACTCAGTATCTTTATTGGTGTTCCTCTCACCCTTCTAAATATACCTCTATAAGGTCGTATCATGGTTTCCTTGGGTATGGCACACTTTCTTAATAGCGAGAATTCGGCACTTGTATCGATCAGGCACTGATGTGGTTTGTTGCCTATTTTTACTTTAATTAAAAACCCATTTTTATGAAAATTATTTTTGAAACACGAATAAATAGAATAATTTTTAGTTCCAAATTCTTCTCCTGGACTGTTTTCTTGAACATGCTCTTCCATTATTGCATTAATTTTATTAGTCGAAGTGTTTTTCCTAGACCAACCATTCTTTTCCAACTTTATAATGTCATAGCATCCTTCCGTGGGATGGTTCCCTCTTCAATAAAGTAAATAAAACTTGCCTTTTAGTTTCCTCTTTTTTTCCAAATAGCTAGCTCGTTCTTCCACCTTATTAACAGCTTTTTTTGGAAAGGCCATCTAGGCCGATTACAATGGTCCTCTTAATTCGCCTGGGGATTTAGTTATGGTAAGCCTCAGCAATAAACTTCAGTTTATACAAAATTCCTCTCAACCAGCAGCGATGCTTGTCCCAGTAACTCCATAAACTCCTCGTATGTGCTTGTAATTTTTAGGCTAATTAAAATTTATTTAGGTTCTCATCTGTATCCTTTTGTGTTAAAAATCTTTTTTTCATCGCATATAAGAAGACTTCTAGAGAGATCTCAACCCCGTGGGTTGCAACCAATGTAGTGCTCCACGTTAATGCTTTGTTCCTCGATGAGAGTAATATTGCCTACCTGGTGTCTTCATCAGATAGCTTGAAAAGTGTTGTAACCATCAAAGTTTCTTTTACCAACTGTATACGTTCCCGTTATCAGATCCATTGAAGTATCTGATTGCCTTCGTCACTGTCGCCATGTAAATAACACTTTTATTTACTTCTTCAAAGTCTTGCATAAGGTCAAAATATTTTAAATACTTAATTCTTAAGATAATAGAAGGTCTTCGCCAAACCTATACGTAAAAAACTACAATAACGGGATCTTTTAGTGACCTTTTCCTACCTTTAATTTTTAGAAAAAAGTTAAAAAAATTATTAATTTAATTCAAAAAAAACCCTTACAATTTATACAAACCGCTGAGCAAACTCTTCAAGTTTTGTATTTATTGAAAATCTACGTTTAAGGTATACTGAGCAATCCAATCATCTATAAAATTTCTTTGCACACCATTTTCTTTCATTATTGTACTCTTTAGATGAGACCAAAATCCTTCAATTTAATTTGTATGTGTCATCGATTGAATGAAATCCCTCTGAACAATTCACTACATGGTGATTTAAATTTAGATTACGAGCAACTACGGGGCAGGAGACAAAACCATCAGTGTGATGTACATTATTTGGTAAAATTACTGTCGTGCCACAAACATGACAAATAATTGTTTTGGGATTTTCAAAACAAAACTGATGGTTTGAAACGGTGTTTTGGAATAAAACAGTGTTTTAAAAATTACTATTTAAAGAAAAATAATTTTAAAATAATGCGCGAAGCAGCTAAGAAGAGTATTGAAAAGCCATCCGACTTTAGACATCGTTATATAATGAATAGTTTTATTGAAAAATATTACAAGTTTGTTACTCACCCTTCGGAGCAAGACA